GCAGACTCATTGGTTTCATTAAACTTTACGTTTAGGCAGGAAGAGCGGTCAGCAGGGCCTCGGAGCGTCTCGACTTCCCGTCTTCTCACCTCAAGAGAAGAGTTACATTAAGGGGACCTGCGACTTCCTCGGACTCGGACACTTCACCACCCGCTACGTCACCCTGAAGAATTACCCATCAAGCCTTGGAGACAGCTACTTTGCTGATCGTGACCTCGCAGAGCTGGTCGACCCGCAGTGGCCTGATCCCGGCTCTGAGTGGCTCTACTCTGTCCCCTGGGGCTTCAGACGCTTGCTTAACTTTGTCAAGGTACACACAACACAAATTAAACACAATCAAATCCAGATATCTGGCTGTAGACAAGGTTATAGGTTTTAGGTTTATCTTTCGAAACAGGGATATTTGTATTGTGCTTGAATTTCTTTGGGAAAAGTGAGACGAGGCGATGGATACTGCTCGTGTTTCTTATAGTCTGGAAGCGAAAGTTCGGGAGTTGATTAACTTAGCTTAGCATAAAGACTGGAAGCAGGGGGAAACAGCTTTGCATTGTCCATAGGTCAGTCTTTTTTATGTTGCAGAGAGAAGGCTAGCTGTTTCCCCTAGCTTTGAGGCTTTATGCTAAGCTGAGCTAACCTACTTCCTCCAGATATGAATTGTTATTTATGAATTATGACAGTTGTGGTATCAAAACAGGTCTCAATATATTTTTACTTTTATCATATAGAAGTTTAAGATTTGAGTTTGATCACAGCCCTATAAAAAAAACTGTCCAAAGCACGCTCTAAATAGGATTTGCACATACCAAATAAAATCATAGGATAGCGATGTGTAACTTTACGTGTGGGTCTTTTGGGGGGCTCCGCTTACAAGAACCCCTTTTTTGGTGGGGGTGCTGCAAGGTACAAAAGGTTGGGAACCAATGGTGTGGACTTTAAAAACATACTTTCAATGAGTTTCGGCATCAAGCCTTCATCAGGAAGTCAAACAAAGAGATGCTAAGAAAACAGACGGTCCTTTAAAAGTGGGACTCCTCTTTTCTATGACGACGTGTGGCAGTGCTCCTTTCTTCAGTTTCTATCCATTCATCCTGTTTGTTATTTGATGTCTTTTGAACAGACTCAGTACGGGAACCCGATGATTTACGTGACAGAAAACGGCGTGTCAGAGAAAATGCTCTGCACCGACCTGTGTGACGACTGGAGGATGCAGTACTTCAAAGATTACATCAACGAAATGCTCAAAGGTGAAAAAGCTGTCACTTTAATTTAGAATTAGAGTCTGTGCGAGTGTTGTCCCGTGTTTTAACTTTACGTTCTTTGTTTCCTCACAGCGATGAAGGACGGCGTGAACGTGAAGGGTTACACAGCCTGGTCTCTACTGGACAACTTCGAGTGGGACGAGGGATACTCCGAGAGGTTCGGACTCTACTACGTGGACTTCAGGAACAAGAATAAACCACGCTACCCGAAGGCCTCTGTCCAGTTCTACAAACGCATCATCAGCTCTAACGGCTTCCCCAATCAGAGAGAGGTAAAACTGTCACATCATGAACGGCACACTCCTTGGATCGTAATATGTTATCGAGTTGTTGAGACTTTGTTCTTTCTTTACAGGTGGAGAGTTGGAAGAGGAAATCCATCGAGACTTGCTCCTCCAGTAACCAGCTCCTGGCAGCAGGTTGGTACAATAAATCATACCAGCGTAGGCTAAGCTAAGCTAAGTGGGGCCAAACAAAGGAAAAGTCTGTCTCCAGATTGTTTTGCCTGTAGCGTATTCTAATTCGGGGCACCAGCTTAAAGTATAAGCATAAGATAACTAACCTTAGTTGTAGTAATTAATTAATCTATAAATCTATCTCATATCATCGGAGTAAATTCTCAAGCAGTTAAAACCATAAAAATACACAGACAAAGTACAGAAATTGTATGTGTTTACAAAAGATATATAAAGGGAGTAAATATGCAAAGGATATAATTACGACAGTGATACTGACGTGACAATGTAAATAATGACAATGTTGTGTATTGGTTTTAAGTTGGAATGGTGAAGTTCTTATGTTAGAGTAACGAGGTAAAACGCGATATCGTTTGAGTAATTTAACTAGGTAAGGATTTAGAAGAAAGAAAGGGGACTTAATGAGTCTGATGTAAAAGTTGATTTAGAGGCTTTGATTCGGATACGACAAGCTTTGCTACTACACACCCACTACTTAATCAGAACGCATCCTTACTATGAGTTGCGTTCGGGAGAACTCCGCCGAATGGTACCATTTAGCCCTCGTCAGGTTCTTTCGGATCGAGGATGCCGGGGTGAGTGTGCTAATTCCGAGGTCGTTCACATATAGCCAAGTGGTCTGTTTTACCGGTGTAAATTAGAAAGTTATCCAAAGTGTTTTATGACGTCCTGTCTCTACATTCCAATGCAAAGTCTCTTTCAAACAGTTAATCAATGAATTGTGATTTCCTATCAGCAAACAGGAAAGGGGGTTTGGGCGAATTTGTAGTTATTCCAGGGCAACACGTTACATGCCGTTATCTAACAGGGTTTTTCTTTGTTTTGCCCCTCCAGCTAGAAGACAGTCCCCAGGGAAATCAGGAACATGCAGGAATGCAAAAGTCTTGGCCAGTGCATGATGAAGTTTAGGTACTAAAGTTTCTGATGTTTATCCTACATCGTACTTCCTGTTAGAGGCAAATAAGAGGGACTGTTAACGTATATACCGATAGGAGCATCACCGATCACGCACAGGTACCAAAAGAATACCGGCCCTTGATACCTATTGCTGCTGGAGGGTCATAACATCTGAAAGGGTTAGCTTCGGAACCAGCACAGCACTGACATGTAATTTCTAAGAGTGATCATTGGCCGATTTGATTTGTGTTTAAGTTAAGTCTGTACTAGCTATCATGCGTCCACTTCAGCTCCTCTGCTGTGCGGAGTCCCTCAGGGTTCGGTCTTTGCACCAGTGCTTTTTTTCACTGCACATGCTCCCTATGTCAGTTTTAAGAGTCGAGTCGACTAGTCATAAGTTATTGATACGGTTATTAATTGATCCAATAATGTTTTGCACATTTACTTTATGGCTCTTAAAGGTCACATATTATGTAAAATCCACTTCACCATGTTTCTCTGACACTAATATGTGTCTCTAGTCTGTCTACAAACCCCCCAATGATGAGAAAAGTCCATCCTCTCCATCTTTTGCCTGCTCCACTTTTCACAAAATGTGTGCTCAAACAGGCCGTTTGGAGATTTTCCCTTCATAACATCACAAAGGGCAGTAACCCCTCCCCCAGGTGGGTGACACTCCCATAGCTAGGTGTTTGTTCTGCCCTCTGGGTCTGCCTTCTCACAGTAAACAATAGGACATGGAGCGAGGAAGCCAGAGACACCCAAGCCCTTCCAGAGAGGGGGCGTGGTCAGACACAGCTCATTTATATTTAAAGGTACAGACACAGAAACAGCCTGTTCTGAGCAGGGCTGAAATAGAGGGGTTTATAGGCATGATCAAATACAGGATCAGAGTGGATTTAGAACAAGAAACTTCACAGACAGTTAAAACCGGGACACATTGGTGTTCTATAGATATTTGTGGAGACTCGGGGATACTTTAAAGTACTTGAAAATAAGTGTAAACGAACAGAGACGTTCAAACACATTAACTTACATTTGTGTGTGTGTTTCAGACCCGCTGATCGGCCACATGGAGATGGTGACAGAGATTGTCGTTCCAACAGTATGCACGCTCTGCATCCTCCTCAGTGCAGTCTTCCTCATGTTCCTGCTGCGGGGACGCCTCTGAGCGGACACACACACATGCATGCACAAATACACACACGCACACACACCCTGTCAGATGAATAAACTACTCAGAGAGTGACTTTAAAGCTGTTAAACTTCATCATCGTCCAGCGTTGTGTTCATTTAACTGTCCTGCTGCTCTGTTTCAACAATCAGGTCGTCACCTCTGAGTCAAAATAGATAATATCCCGTTCACTTCATGCTTGCTTTATTACGATTATTAAAACAATAATGACCTTAATTGGTATTTATTTTATAAAAACTGGTCTTGTGTGGTTTTTTAGGGAAGCTGCCTTTTCTCAGAGACTCAAGAAAACTGTAAAGAGAAGATGGTTTATTCTAAAAAAAAAAAAAAAAAAGTTTGTACAGTTAAGAAATAAGAGTGCTGGAGATCAAGTGTTGTACTCTGTGGATTATAAACTCACAATAAAATACATTTATAACATTTATATGGTGCTGATTATTGAGAAGAGAAATTGATTTATGGTCTACATTAAGTCTGACAAGATATGAAGGAAGAAACATACCGCAATGGGACATGAATAACGAGTGCAATGCCTGAGTGATGTCCCACCAGTAGCGGTCTCCATGCTGGAAATGCTGTCTCAACCTAACTTTCGGTTAACGACAGGCTGAGATGAGGCAGGTTTTAATTTTGCGTTTTTGATCTTGGATCTCGTCTAACACATCATCAGGAAAGCCTCCCTGCAGTCGGAAACTTTCTTTTATTTTTATTTTTATTTTATTAAACATTTCTTGCAAATGTACAAATGTAAAAAACAAATACAAAATATAGTTACATTCTGTACAGAAACTTAAGAGCAACTTCAGGCGTCCAAATTAACAACATGGCTGCTCTTTGCATCAACAGTAACGTTTAAACTCAAACTATTGTATTCATTAGCAGCTTAGTCCTCTTACGCTGAACTCGAGCCCCAAAAAAGATAAAAAATATATAAGTATATGTCTTGTGTGCTTAAGATATAATGATGTGCGCACAAATAATTATCTCATTTGCAAACATAAACACATTAATCTTGTTCCTATCATGACTTTTTTTTGTGGCTCTGTGATTTAGCGGAAGCGTGCTGGATTTTATTTTGAAAAGTTAACGCGTCATACCGGAAGTTAATTTCGCCAATTTTGCAACAACTCTCGCGGGTGATTACTACGCCGGGAGAGCTCGTGACAGGTAAAAGAATATAAGCTACTGGTATCTTATTTAAAGAATTCATTTTAATTTATTATCGTGTTTTAACTTGGCACGACCCGCTGACAGCAGCTAAAGTAACGTTATCTCAGTATTTCAGTATTTACACTTTAATACAACTTCAGACGTTACTCAGACCGGAAGTCAGGTTCAGCCGACGTTTAGAGAGAGGAGCGTATTCTGCTGCCCATCACGTCCACTTTAAAACTTTATAAACACGAAGGACAGGATTTACTGTTTTTGTTTTGTGTTTTGGGCTATGGTCGAGTTTACCGCCTTCCCGGTGATGACGCTCCGGTCGACCGATATCTGCTTCTTCACGGCCGATATCTGACCGAGCTGTCCGGGAGAGAGAGCGCAGGTATCGGGCGCCGATTTATCAACAGAAACTGACGGATAACATCTGAAAAACAGGCTAAATAACTGAGATAATCCATCAAAGTGAGTGTTTTAGCCTGTTATTCTTTATTTACAGCAGCGGCAAGGCAGATTAAAAGATAAACATAATTGAAAAGGAGCATTTTAAGGCTGTTAAAATGTAAAATATTTTCATATAACGATATAATCTTTGTTATTTTAAAGGACCAATATGTAAGATATAATTACAATAACAGCAATAAAAAGGTAAAGTGACAAAACAAGATTAAGGCAATAAAAGAAGAATAACAATGAAAAGATTTAAAGGCAGTAAAATAAGGCAATGCTGAATAAGAGTTATTCAAAATGAACCACCGTAAAATCTGGAATATGAGTCGCACCGGTGTATAAGACGCACCCTGTTTTGAAGGTCTCTTAGAGAGGAAAAAAAAAGTTTAAACTGTTTTCCTGCGTTACGATTTATATTGTGTTGAGCGATGTCTACAACGTGCAGTTTCTGTGCAGCTGTGTCGCTCTTAAAGTCCCGTCTTTTTTCACTTTTGGGAGTTTGCGCTCCTACTAGCTACAGTACGGTAGTCGAGCTCTCAGCCTGCTGCAGGGAAAGCTGTGAGTAACAGACTCCTAGTTTGCGAGCTGCGCTGCCCGACTCCGCTTGTCACTCTTTAACTTTAATATATAGGACTCTTTCAATCAAAAGAGAACTCCACAAGGTTCACAGCTGTGAGGAAGAAAATATGTGGAAAAAGTCGTGCAGCCAGCCTGGTCTGTGTCACCGTCTTTCCTTGCATAGCGTGCGCTCAGATTTCAATACACAATGGGGGTGGGTTTTTAATCACGTCAGGTCGCAGTTAGTGGCTGTGGTCGCACCGGTGTATAAGATGCAGCCGACTTTTAAGACGAAAAAAATAGGTATTAAAAGTGCGTGTTATACACCAGATTTTACGGTAAACCTTTTTTTTTTTTACTTTTTTTTGTCGAGTTCTTACGTTACTTCAAATATTTCCAACAGTTATCAAAGCAGGCAAATCCTTAATTTTAGAGTTGTAACGGGACGTGTCTTTGGATACATTAGCTCTTCTGTAAACATATTCTCTTCCTCAGGTCAGTTTCACCCGGTCATCTTGACTACAGTCAACTCAGAGTTTGTTTTCATCAGCGTTGGGGGGGTGCAGGAGAAGAGAGAACTCCCATGATTCCCCGCCAGCCTTGATGTCTTCTTTATTGTTTTGATCCCCCTGGTGGTGGAATTTACATACTGTGCGTTTGATAAAGAGAAAATAAGAAAATTAAAGAAGTCAGAAGACGTAAAAGCAGCAAGAGGATAATTAGTGAAACAGGGACAGGTTTCTTTTTGTTTGCATGTCGTATTTGTTTCAATCAAAGGAATTCAAACTGCTGTAACAGATCTGACGTTTTGTCCAGGAGTTACACACCATGTCCAGCCCACAGAGAAACGGCCGCTTCAACATCCCTGACTATGACGGCTTAGAGGATGAAGCTTTCCCTCCTCTTCCTCCTCCACACTCTCCGGGACAGGGGGGGCGAGAGGATGGAGACCCTTTTGGAAATGGTGAGAAGCTGCTGTAGGATGCTCTCAAGAGACTTTCCAGCTATTCAAGGCAGTTAAATAAATAAATAAATACAATATGATTCATGGTAGGAGAGTAAGTAATGATATGGTAGAGGTGGTAATCAATCGTTTGTTTTTTGTCTCACGCAGAGGACGAGAACGGGGACGTGTCAAAACTCGCTGATGTTCCTGCTGCTAAAAGAAAAGGAGTGAGGAGGCCACAACCCAAACTGGACTCCCAGAGGTATCTCAGACGTCTCTAATGGTGCTTTTAGAGCAGTATGTAACTCTGACACCTAGTGTTTAAAATGGGTACTGCATCTCAACAGGTCACATTGTAGAGAAGCTTCCCAGCTCCCCTGCCCTGTGTTCTAACCTCTCTCCTCAAAAGCATCTCAATATTGATCCTAGTTTGAGCACGTTTCTGCTCGTGGAGTTTATTAGAAACATGCAGAGGCTTTTTAGGTCGGGTACAATCACTTCTATCTGAACCACTTCTCTTGCCCGCTTCCATCGCTGCAACACCTGTTGACCTGATAACTGCTCTCATATCTGGCAAACTGAGAGGCGTCCAAAACGACCATGTGGGGGTGCCTTAAAACCGCCTACCCTTCTCTGGTCCAAACAAATTCAGAGCATTCAGGAGCAGAATCTAAAGTTAGAAGGAGGACATACTGGCTGCTGCATTGTTGTCAGAGAAGCCAGCACTTCAACATGTTTCCTTAATGTCTGATCATAGAGTAAAGTCACTTTATCATCACACTCACTACACATCTCACTGATTGGAACTTTAACCTAACAGGAGTTTAAAAACATTTTACATTTATTGTTTCAGGCTGATCTCAGACAGAGGACTTCCTGCTCTGCGAACGTTGTTTGAAGATGTTCAGTTTAAAGGCAAAGGACGCGAGGTGAGAGATGACGACCGACACGTTTACACAACCAAACCTAACAGATGACGTGTCACTGAGTCACAGCGGCGCAGGAAGTAGGGGTGCTGAGGGAGCTGCAGCACCCTGTAAAATCTCATCGCTGAAGCTGACTTCCAGCTTGTTGACTCGTTCATACCGGCTCCACATTATGACATCATACTCATGCTTTAGTCATAGTTTGATGGTGTTTGTGTGTATCATCCGTCCAGGCCGAGGACCTGCGGCTGCTGATGCACAAGATGGAGAACTGGGCTCACAGGCTGTACCCCAAACTGCAGTTTGATGATTTTATCGACAGAGTGGAGAAGCTCGGCAACAAGAAGGAGGTGCAGACCTGTCTCAAACGGATACGACTGGACATGCCGCTGACACACCAAGACTTCATAGGTAAATATTTGAAGAGATAAATTGTTTGAAAGAGTAGTTTGTATACCAGGGCTCCAGTTTTAGAGAGCTGGAGATGAAAGGGTCCTTCAGATAGGATGCAGTGTGTGCTGTGCTCGCCGCGGGGTTAGGCGCAGCCCAAGTCTTGGTGCAAGTTGCTAGGTGCCCCAAGCGAGAGTCGGGAAAAATATCTACTTTTTGGATGCACAGTATGTTTGTATGTTTCTCCTTCTGAGGAGGAGGAGACGAGCAGCGAAGAAAAAGAGGGTGCGGCTTCATGAAATCCTCAGGGCACGACAGGATGTGGGAGAGATTAGTCTCGTCCAGGTAATGCAGCTCTATAACGACGCTTCATGAACACAACACACATTTCTGCTGTTTGAAACACACCCTGGGCCCGTTTCAGTAAGCAGGCAACACTGAGTCTGTTAACTCTGAATTTAGGGAAACTTTTTAGAAAGAGGGGTAACTCAAGCCCGTTCCAGAAGTCTTTTGTGTGCCTTTATTTTCAAGAGGGTTAAAGTACTCTTGTTTTTGTCTCCTGTTGCCATGGTGAATCGTTGTCTCGGGGCTCCATTAATGTTGGCTTTTAATCGTCTGAACAGAGTGAACCGGCTCAGAGTTGATTTTAAAAAAAGTCAAAGTCAGCTGAACTGGAACAAAAAACTCAGAGTTTCTCACCTGAGGGTAAATCCGCTCAGAGCTCAGAGTTAGACTGAGGGTTTGTTGAACCTTCTTTCTGAAACGGGCCCCTGGTGCGCCCAAACTGTCGGACATGTCTTTACAAACTAGATCTCAGGAAAGTGACATGTCGTTTGTTTTGATCTGATCTTCCCTCCTAGTGCTGAGATGTCCTCTTAAAAAATGTGTAAATACGCTCAGCAGGCACGGACAGCAAGTGCAACCTTCAGCTCAGCTCTTAACACACAGACATTGAATGAGTTTGAGAGCAGAGGTTCAGACTCCCACACTCTTATTTCTCTGTTTCAGGTGAAGACGAGCCGGCTCCTGAACAGCATGTCTTTGCGGATCCAGATCCGTTTGACAGTGCAGTTTTCCCTGATGACCTGCAGAGGGCACTCCACTCTACTCCTGCTCCAGCTCCCCCACCATCCTCCTCCTTTCCCTCCCCAGCTGCCCCCTCCCTCACCGAGGAGCAGCGCAGACGCATAGAGCTGAACAGACAGCGAGCCCTGGAGAGGAAGCTCGCGCGGCAGCAAACAGGTGAGAGGTTTATTAAGACGAGTCCAGATTCCTTTAGACCTGGGCCAGTCTTCTGGATTAGTCTTTATGACTCAGGAACACGTGGCCTTAATGCTGCACACCTTTCATGATGTTGTAGAAATAAAAAAAAGTTGTCCTGCATGTGAAGAAGTTAAAGTTAGCTGCTGTGAGTCTGTGTTTGTTTTTAAATTGATCGTTGGATTCCTGATGTGACTCTTCTGATCTCCTGATGTCGTCTGATCCTGCAGACTCTCAGACTGCTGACTCTTCAGCACGGTCAGATGAACCCACACCTGTCTCCTCTGTAAACGACCTCCACGCGTGTAAAGCTGAGGCGGAGGAGGAAGAGAAGGAAGAGGCGGAGGAGGATTTACACCCGGAGCCAGACAGCAGCAGCACACAACAACCGAAGGAGTCGGCGCACAGAGACTCTGAGGCGTGTGCAGAATCGGCTCAGTGCGAGGGAGAAGAAAGCAGCCTGAGCGCTGAGCCTGAACACGACATCGAGCAGGAGGACGGAGATTCAAAGAGCTGAAGTCATCGTCTATGTTCTCTATAAAACAAACTTTGTTCAAACTTCATTTCTTTGTTTCTTTTGATCTTGAAAACTTTACGTCTTGTTCTCGTTAAAGCCGTCAGCTGATCAGTGCTGAAACCTGAATTGTGTTCCTCTGCTGTGAGTCCATCCTTAAATCACATCGTGTGTTTTTCTGGTTTTTATAAAATGCCAAATAAGGGACAATAAAGATTTTGTTTTCCAACAACACCTCAGTGATCTCGTCTTTGCATGAAGTGTAAGGGCGCACTCACACTAGGCGAAGTTGTCCCATACCGTGCTCCAGCATGATTGCCCCCCCCTCCCCCTCCCCATTCCCCCGCTGGCCTGCACTCACACTGCTCCAGGACTAACCGGGCCTGAGCACGTTTACCTCTTTTACACAACGTCGTAATATAACACATGCATATCTTTATGTAGCCTAATTATGGAGCGTGCGTCTAAAAAGGATCCTGCAGACGAAAAAAATCAAAATGCAGATATTTTACTCAAACTAGTTGAATGACTTATTTAAATCTTGAAAAAGGTATATGTGTATATTTGATTTATATTTACAAGGACTTTGAAAAACGCACCATCTCCGGGTGACGGTGGTTAGTTTGTGCGCCCCCATGTTCAAATCTACTGTGGCTCCTTTCCCGCATGGCGTTCCCTCTTCTCTCTCTCTCTCTGATTTCACAGACACATCTACTGTCATAGCTCTCAAATCAAGGTCCAAGAAACCCGAAAATGAACCTTAAAAAAAGAATCATCAGGGTGCTGCGGTGGCTGTGATCCCCCATACATGGGGGTCCCGGGTTCGAATCCGACCTGTGGCTCCTTTCCCGCACGTTGTTCCACATTCCCTGACTGTCCTATCTCAACAATAAAGGCTTGAAAAGCCTAAAAAGATCTTTAAAAAAAAGAATCATCTAATAAATATCAGCTGAAATGAGATGTTCAAAAAAGAAATGTCGTCCAAATTTGTGTTTTCCTCAACATGATTTGAGTGAGTCTACCTCACGTTATTTATTTGCTTATTATTTGAGTGACATAAAATCATGGTGATAGAAAGTTCCTGTTTCCGTGGGTGTGTGAAATCATTGGGTTAATATTACCGCTATGAAACATGAACTATCATTAACGTCTGTAAAAAAACATCATGAAAATGTCCATAAAATATCTGTTCTCTCATTTAATATCAAATGAAACATTTAGACTGCAATTTATTACACATTTTTACATGGAGTAAAGAGGAGCGCCCCCTCCATGGTCGAAAGGAGTGGTTAGCGCCGTCGCCTCACAGCAAGGAAGTTCCTGGTTTGATTCCCCGTCTGACAGGAGCCTCTCTGTGTGGAGTCTGCATGTTCTCCTTGTGCATGTGTGGGTTCTCTCCGGGTTCCTCCCACAGTCCAAAGACGTGCTCGTTAGGTTAAGTGCTGACTCTAAAGTGTCTGTAGGTGTGACTCTGAGTGTGGCTGGTTGTCTGTCTCTATATGTCAGCTCTGTGATTGGCTGGTGAACAGTCCAAGGTGTTACCCTGCCTCTCACCCAATGACAGCTGGGATCAGATCCAGCCCCCCTGACCCCAAAGCAGTACAGATAACGGCTGGTAAAGGTTTCAGATTACAAAAAAGTTTCTTAAATAACTACAAATCTGTGGGGCGCTCCATGCACTTAGGCTGTAGTCCTACAAGCGGACGGCCCGGGTTCAAATCCGACCTGTGGCTCTTTTCTCACGTCTTTCCCTGCTCTCTCTCCCTCCCTGATTTCCGATGCTATCCACTGTCCTGTCTCTACAATGAAGGCACAAAAAGCCCCAAAAATATCTTTAAAAAAATAACTACAAATCTGTCATGACGATAGAAAAAAAAAAAACAATCAACATCAGCAAAAACACAAAGAGTCTCCTGCTTGAAGAATCTGAGACAGCTCTTCTGCAGCGTCCGTCACTTCCTCTTCCCCGCAGCTCTAAGCAGTCGTTGCACACACCTGTGCAGCCGTCTCCAGGTCCGTCAGAGCGAGCTCCCTCACCTCCTCCAGCAGAGAGTACAGGTTAGGGGTTTTACTCTGCCGGTACTCCCTCTCCTCCTTGGACAGTTTGGGCCTCCTCGCCTCCTTCTCCTGCGCCTGCTGGCTAGCCTCCTCGGCCAGACGCACCACCTCTTGCACCAGTTGCTGCGACCCTGTGGGCGGGGCTTCTCGGGCTCGTCGCTGCTGTGGGGTTTGTTGCTGATGACCTCGAGGTTTAAGCCGTCTGCGTGGAAGTTTGTGGAGCGGACGGAGATACGGACCTGTGGACAGCAGAGGATTAGAAGGATCATTTAAATGATTAAAACCCTCAAGTGTGCACCAAACTTTAAAGTCAAAAGACGATAATATGAGCTGATCATTTAGAGACTCACTGTGATGTGGTCGAACAGCCTGAAGGTGGAGGTGCCGCCGATGGAGGTGGTGCTGATGTGGTCTGAGGATCGTCTCACGGAGCCACTCTGCCAATCACAGCCGCCGTCCTTTCCTGCAGAGACCACCTGACCCTCCCGGTTCTTCAAATAGACGGGAGCTTTAACACCGTACCTGCAGAGAGGTACAGGTGGAGTCAGGCCTGCTCGACTGAAATACTTTACCAACGATAAGAAACACTTACAATCCAATCTCATCGGTTGGATGAGCTCTGAAAGAAAGAAATACTTTCACACAAACTCTGAGCGAGAGAGGATACAGAACTTCAACAAACAACTTCAGGCTCATTCTCGACAACCAATCACAGCTTTGAGACTAAATTAACCTTTTGATCCAGTAGATGTCACCCTTGAGCTCCAGCATGAAACCAAAACAAACTTCTGTTTGGCCACACCTCCTCCATACAGAAGCCGCCGCTCTCCTACAGCGACACACCTCCAACCCCCCTCGCCTCGAGTTTACACAAAGGTGGAGGACAAATATCCTCTGCTCAAGCTACAGTTAGCATGCTAATGTTAGCACTCAGTTTCTTACTCTGGGACAAACACCAGCACGCCGTTGTCTCGGATGGCGTAGATGACGGCGTTGGCCACACAGTGCGGGTCAGTCTGAGGGTCTCTCTCTTTGAAGAAGAGACACTGAAACAGCTCGGTGGACAGTTTCTGAGCCCGCTGGGCTGCCTGGATGGATGAATCAGAGGTCAAAGGTCAGAATATTGTAGTTCACACAGAGAGAGTGAGAGAGCATTGGATCATGAAACAGCTCTGACCCGGTTCTTGTTGTTGATGTGCTGAGCAGTTTCATCCAGCTCTTTGTGACCTGCCAGCGGTTTACCAGGCTCCGCCCTCGTCGTGTCCATGGCGATGGCGGCACTGAGGAGACGGTGCACCACGATGTCAGCATAGCGACGGATGGGTGAGGTGAAGTGTGTGTACCGGTCCAGAGCCAAACCTAAGAAACAAAAAAGTTTTTAAAAAATTAAGACTGTGTAAAATGTGGGCGTGACCAGTCAACGCAACAAAGCCTTCAACCGGCATTATTTTACTGGCCAGCAGGGGGCGACTCCAATGGTTGCAGAAAGCAGTGTTGTTTGGTCTTTTACCGTAATGGTAGAACTTGTCCTGGGACAGCAGACCAGTGGAGAAGTACAGAGCCTGGGACATGGCTGTGGTGGCCATCATCCTCAGCAGCCTGTTCACTAGCGGGTCCTGAGGGTCCACAGCCCGGTCCAGAGAGTCCGCTAAGGCCTTGTTGGTCCTGGAGGAACATAATCACCTAATCAGTAATGTGTCTACCTTTAATCACACAATAGGAAAACAAGTCATGCCTGTCTTTTAATGATCGTGTGACTAGGCGTAAAGGGATGCATGCAAAATTTTGTTTTCCCCATCAGCTCCCGTAGAGGACGCCGTCCAGTAACCTGGTGTCGATGGTGAACCCCCCGGCCGAGGCGCTCTCCAGCAGCTGGTTGAAGAAATCCTCCCGTGGTTGGGGGTGACACCTGAGCAGGGCCTGATGGGGGAACGTCTCCTGGATCTTGCGTGCCACCCAGTGGTTGGCGTAGATCATGCACTCTGCCACCGTCTCATGGACCTCCAGGGGCTGCCGAGGGACTAGCGCCGTGATGTTCTTCTCCTCGTCCAGCTGGGCTCGAACCTGAGAGGGGGAGGAGTTTGATTCATTATGCGTGGACTCAAAGGACTTTCGTCGTTTAAAATCAGATAAGAAGTGAAAGACAGGAAAGGAAACATCTACCGAACAACGCATCATACCTCCACCCCTTCCAGCTCGAGAGCGCCCCCTTTGTCCCTCTGAGCCCGCAGGTGTCTGGCTACATGTGTTAGCATCTCCAGAGCCTTAGTGAGCTGAGCTAGCTTAGCATCCCTCTCCTCAGATGTCAGCTCAGTCAGCTCGGTACCTCGGCCTCCTCTCCGTTGAGAAGCGCCTGAGCGAGCTCGTAGTGGAGCTGGTAGGAGGAGCAGATGATTGTGCGACCGTACCACACCTTAGTGACGGCGAGGGTTTCTGCATCAAGCTCCCACAGCACGCTCATGGCATACCTGAAACATACACAAACATTTATAGATTTCCTAATTTCCTCTAAACATTAAAAACACAAATAACACAGAGACGAGTAGATTCTCACCTGTCGACTCCTCCCAGCAGAGAGCAGAGGTCTGCACTGAGGACAGCAGGTAACATGTCGTACCTGCGGTCCGCCAGGTAGTAGGTGGTAGCTCTGAGAAAGAAATAAAATAAAGATAAAAACATTTAAAAAAACAGCACAGATATCAAAGATAATGTAATGAATGATCTGGGTATTTCTGTCATCTATGCATATTATTGAATCAAATACCAAATTGTGCTCAAAAGAACAGCAGATTCTGGGGATTCACCTGTTTTTTGCTTTTAGATCTCACATCTGCTTTCCACACTTTGGACCTCAAACTTTTAATTTCTCGACAGAAGCTCTCGGTTTGTATTAAAGGTACAGCTTTGGAGTGTCTTAGATCCTACGAGGCTGACAGAAGTTTCTCAGTCTGCCTTGATGACTGTACGTCCTTCCATCCTGTGGAGTCCCGCAAGGCTCCATACTTGGTCCTATCGTATTTTCCCCACATTATGCTTCCTCTGGGGTCCATTCTTAAAAGATATGGAATCTTTTTCCATTTCTACGCTGAAGACACAAAGCTGTACTAGCCCTTGAAAATTAAAGCCACTAACAAAGCCCCAGACCTGTGGGGGCCCTGTGGGTGCTACATACTGTG